GTGACTTTACTCTAAATATATTTCTTCATCATTCTCCCAGTCTTAACAACTGTGCTACTTATACCTATTCTAAAAATGCTTTTTTAGGGTGGAGGGAGAAGTAAATCCTATGAAGTCTTACGAGTGTATTTTTTGCCAGTTAGGACTTTGTACATCTTTTAGTTCAATGAGCAGAATCATCAACATGCACTCTCCCTGTCAGAAGCGGAAGAACAAATAATGACACTACATCCCATCCATTTGCTATGGAAACTATGTTTGGTTAAGTATAAGTTGTCTGGCTTTTACTCATGCGCTTAGCCGGCAAGATCTATGTATTTATAACCTCGGCAGCCCTAAAGACTAAAACAGCAAAACAATTTCTTTCCAAGCCTTGAAGTTTATTTCAAAATCTGGCTTGAGCAATGATAAAATATTAATTGTTAGTTTTACAATGGACAGAAGAATGCAGTTCTTCCAGACAAATATGTGCTCAATAAGATTAATATTCTACATTAGATACAACACAACGAAGAGTGATTAAGCAAAGCAAGAAAACCAATGTCAATGCTTAAGCAATCCGGTTCTGTATCAGAATCTTGGCATTATGAAAAAATGAGATGACTTGAGAATAGATCAGGGCTTGGGAGCCTGTGGCCTTTATTTTTATTTATTTATACAATGTAAAACAGTTGTATAGTCACCTATCTTAAAACCAATTCTGGGCCGTTTACAACAGAGGTGGGTTTCAGAAGGTTCTGACCAGTTCTGAAGAACAGTTAGCGGAAATTTTGAGTAGTTTGGAGAACCAGTAAATACCACCTCTGACTGGCCCCGCCCCGTCTATTCTCTGCCTCCCAAGTCCCAGCTGATCGGGAGGAAATGGGGATTTTGCAGTAACCTTCCCCTGGAGTGGGGAGGGAATGAAGATTTTACAGTATTCTTCCCCTACCACGCCCACCAAGCCATGCCACGCCCAAGCCACACCCACAGAACCGGTAGTAAAAAAATTTGAAACCAACCACTGGTTTATAATAAAACCATACATATAATCATAAAATAATTCATCCTTCTAAAAAATAGAAAAATCTGGTACCACAACACTCTTTTCTGTTGGAAACCCGCATTTTCACCATTTTTCCCTTTAGCTCCTTAGAATACTGCCCCAGAGGCACAACACTCTGAAACAGCATGATAGATGAAGTCTCTGGTTTGCAAAGGGAAAGAGCAATAGACAGAAAACGTATGTTCTTTCTTTCTACTCCAGCACGCGTCTTGTGAGTGCAGTTCAACTTTAGATTAAGCCGTTATCAGAAGCTTGGCAAAATCCCGACACATAGGGTTCATTTTTCATCATCGACTGTTTTCATAAAGGACCACTGGTATTCCTACTCCTAAAATCTGCGCAGCAATTATAAACTACATTTCACATCATAGAATGTGTTATTATTCTGAGAAAAGGTAAAGATTTTGCTGGAAAATATTTGCTTGTGCAAAATGTGCTGCAAATGAAAAACAAATCTATTACTGGTATAAAATAAATGAAATATTGGTGGAAAATGAAGTCTTTACTTAAGCAAATGAAATTTGCTGCCCCCTGGTGTATCATCATGTTAAAGAATGGGGGCCAGTTTTCCCTCCTAAAGATCTGCATACTTGTTTAGATTAGTACATTTTATAACTATGTACATAGAAAAAATATTTTAAATACAGGCCATTGAATTCTATTAAAAGTTAATCAGAGAATATATAGACACAAACACACACACACACAAAACCTAATTTATATTTGCACCTTCAGTTTTTTCTTCACATCAGTTACATAGCCGCCCCCCATTTATAAATTTCCCAAACATAATCCTTTTAGTCATACTTTCTCAGGCATATTGATGTGATTGCTTTTAAAAGGGATTTAACAGGAGTCCTGCAGATGGTAAAAAGTACTGAAAATTTTTCCATGGTACAAATGGATCATCTACAAGTGAATGTATAGATGAAAGGATTTCTCATGTCTGATTATGCAAATGTATTTGGCATTCTGTGTTTTGTGAGATTAAATAAAATCTGATAAGTACAGTGTTGCAGCTCTAAGTCAGATAAAAAGATTAGGTACACATTGCCCCATCTAAGATAAAATACTGTAATGATCACAACAGACATCAAAACAAAATAGTATGTCACCTGCAAGCAAATCTAATAATTTACAGATAATGCTAAAACATTTACACAGATTCCCTAATGCTACTCATTACAAAACTGTAATAGTGTGGGTGGCTTTAAGGATAAATTATCATCATAGTTGATTATGAAGTAAGAACTCCTAAATGTTCAAGTGGGTAGGATGAATTTTCCTGTTGGCCACGTACACTGGGAAGTCTGAACTGTGCCCTATATCAAAAGATAGGGATATTTACCATTAAAAGACTCCTAAAAATAAACAATAATGAATTGCCAAGTGGGATAATGGTAGGCAAATCATGATGCAATTGTCAATGATTAAGAGAAATCTTGGAGTCATGCTTGATAAAAAATATCCATCATTAAAAAAAGACAGTGAAAGTAAAACTTCCCATGTTCACTTATAAAATCTGTGGTGTGAGAACATTTGGAATACTATCTATTTCTGATCTCCACACTTCAGTAATTATTGTGGAGGTGGAAAAGAGCAAGCAAAGAACAACTCCCATGTAAGAAAAAATTATAACTAGAAAGAAGGCAGGTAAGGGATGCAATAGATATATGTCAAGCTTCAACTGCATACAATAATAATGTTTTAAACATTTTCATAGTATGAAGGAGGGTTTTAAAATGAAACCAACTGAAAAAGTTGGGAAGCATCCCTGATTTCCAACATATCTTTTAATAGAAAAAGAATAATGTCATTCATATTTATTCAAGATATAAAATTAAGAGGAACTCCATCATTTTCTTCAGTGAGGAAAACTACGGTAAATCCACCCTGGATTTATAGCTACTCTATTATGAACTAAAGTTATTATATAAGTCCATTTTTTAATATTATGCAAAGTCCATCAAATTCTAAGTGTCAACAGGATGTTGAAATCTGAATTTCTACATTTCCCCAAAAGCAGGGATAGGCAATTCAGTGCTTTCTAGATATTTGGAGTCTTTTACACCTTTGATCTTAGATCAAAACTGCATCATAATAATAAGCCAAATCTGCAGCATAATATTTGTAATATGAATTTATAGTTTATTAAACCTAATACTCTGAAAAGTAGATTATTTGATTTGCAGACTGTTTTTTAATTTTTGTGTTTTATCTTAGGTGTTTATATTAGGCTATCTTGTTTACTCATTTACATTACATTGCCATATCAGTTTTAATACCAAAAGTATGTACAATTTTACACTTAGATCGTAGTATTTATTTTGTAATTTTGTATTAGTAGTCCCCATAATTGTAATTAATCTTTTTCTTTATCTTGAAATCTTAGTCCTTAGAATTTTATATATGAGCAAAAACAAAAACAAAGATTGATAGTTTTGAACTTCAACTCTAATCAGCTCTAGCCCAAAATCAATGGATTATGGAAATTGCAAAACAAACTCTCAAAGATTAAAGTCTATTTTCTTCCCAACCTTTATTCATTTTTAATCATCACCAAGAATCAGAACTGGGGAAAAGACTCTCCTTAGTGACTAATTTTTAATGGATAATATTACTAAGATTGATTCAAGATCCCCTTAAGTCTCAGCTGTGTTACAAAGTACAGGTTGTCCTCGATTTACAACAGTTCATTTGGTGACTGTTCAGTTACAACAGCACTGAAAAAGTGACTTATGACCATTTTTCACAGTTATGATCTGTGCAACATTCCCATGGTCTGGATGCTTGGCAACTGACTCATATATTTGATAGTTGCAGTGTCACGTGATCACCTTTTGTAAACATCTGCCAAGCAAAGTCAACGGGGAAGCCAGATTCACCTAACAACTGTGTCACTAATTTAACTACAGTGATTCACTTAACAACAGTATCAAGAAAAGTCATAAAATGGAGCAAACCTCACTTAACAAATGTCTCAGCAACAGAAATTTTGAGCTCAGTTGCGATCGTAAGTCGAGGACACACAGCTTATTCCAAAACAGGGAGGGGAAAGCACAGAACCTGGGAATAATGCAGTAAAACTTCCTCCTCTGGAGGTTCGCCCAAGGCCAGCGCAAAACTCAATGGGAGATGATGGGCTTCTAGTAGCTCTACCGCCATTCCCTTTTCAACAACCATAACTGAAGCTGGGGAAAAAACATCCGGATGACCTCGAGATGGCAGCTAAGGCAGTCTGAAGTCGCAGGTTTTTTGCTACTCCGACATGGTGACCCACTTGCCACTCCGGCTTCTACGGACCAGAGAGAACGGGAGTCGAAACCCACCATATCGTCTGCCCAGTGGTGAAACTCAAATTTTTTTACTACCGGTTCTGTGGGCATGGCTTGGTGGGTATGGTGTGGCTTGGTGGACATAGTATGGGAAGGATACTGCAAAATCTCCATTCCCTCCCCACTCCTGGGGGAAGGATACTGCAAAATCCCCATTCCCTCCCCACTCCTAAGGGAAGGATCCTGCAAAATCTCCATTCCCTCCCCACTCCTGGGGGAAGGATACTGCAAAATCCCCATTCCCTCCCCACTCCTGGGGGAAGGATACTGCAAAATCCCCATTCCCACCCCACTCCAGAGGAAGGATACTGCAAAATCCCCATTCCCTCCCCACTCCTGGGGGAAAGATACTGCAAAATCCCCATTCCTTCCCCACTCCTGGGGGAAGGATACTGCAAAATCTCAGCCGAAGCCGACCCCGAAGCGAGACGCTCAGTCCCCCTGTAGAGGAAGCCGCTGGGCAGCATGGCTTTCGTTTCCATGCCAACCACGCGCGAGAGTCTCTCCCCGCCCCCCCCCCCCCCCCCCCGGTTCCCAGCACAGGAAAGCAAATCGCGCCGAAACCCAGAAAGGTCCTCCGCTGGGTCGAGCGCACAGGAAATCACGCCACAAAGTTCGACGAGAGGCTTTCTCAGCCATATTCATTTCCCGGGCCTGCCGCTCTGGGGGTCTTTTCTCTCTGGTTTAGCCAAAAACTAAGGAGTGGAAGCGAGCGACGATGTTCGGGTTGGGGTTTTCCTTTCCCGGAGGGCTGTCTTGCGCGTTGCCCGTTCAGCGCAGAAGATTTCTTCCTAGGGGAGGAGGACGGCAGCAAAGCAACCAATCAGCGAGAAAAGCGAGCCAGCCGCAGTCTTTTTAGGGAGGCAGCCAAGCGGACAGGCTCACGCGACGGCGGCCGAGAAGGACCCTTTTCTGCGCTGAACGTGACGGGGAGCGCGTGGCCAGCCCGTCGGTTTTTGCGCACGGTCCCAGGAGGCGCGAATCTTTGTCCCGTTGCTCGAGCCATGTCCGTTAGCGAGATGTTTATCGCCTTGCAGGGGGTGCTCACCGCCGACCAGGATATCCGCGAGGTAAGGGCACCGGGACTGTTAACTCCCAGGATTCCCAGCCGTGGCTAGGAATTTTGGGGATTGTAGTTCTTATCCGTCCTGAGAGGGGGCGGATGTAAGATGGGTAATGGGTCATACAGGTTGAAAGGAAAAAGGGAAAGCTTTTGTTGCCCTTCCTGCACACACACACACACACACTACCAACCCCATTACCTGCCTACCTATATGGGTTTGCATGAATTTGCTCCGTAGTGAATAATCATGGTCTAAACCAGTATTTTCTTAAACTGGTCCGAGGGTTCCCCGAGGGCATCTCAGGAATCTACAAAATCGAAACATTTGCCAGATATTGAAGTTGATTTGCAAAAAAATTAAAATAATTTCATTCTAAAACAAAACAAAAAAAATACGATTTTTCATGAAAATATTTAGGTTTAATATTGTTCTTTTTTTTTTTACATGATGCAACCAACAAATATCCTGCAAATGCATCCATTTTAATTTTTAGCATAGTAAATATTGATAGGGTCCTCCATAATTTTTAGAAGTCGGAAGGGGTCCTGAGAGTTGTAAGAAACACTGGTCTAAAATATAGCTGTATTTATACTACAGCCTTAATTTATGACCGTAATGTATATTACATTACCTTGACTTATGACCATAATTGAGCCCAGTTGTAAGTTGTGGTGATTGTACATTGACGCATCATCTGACAAGGCCTGCTTTTATTTTTGCAGCAATCCTTAAGTAAATCTATTTCCCAAATGGGCTTTTTTTTTTTTTTTTTTTGGCCAGAAACCAGCAAAAAAAATCGGTCATATGACCTTAGGATATAGCAAATGGCCATAAAGTTGAGCTGGTTGCCAAGCATCTAAAATACAATCACATGACCTGGGAAGGTGCAGCTGTCATAATTTCAAAAATGGATTATAAATAGCTCTGGGGAGGTCCCTTGTAACTTTGAAAGGTGTTTGTTACCTGTCATGAATCAAAGACTACTTGTCAAAGGAAGGGAACGACAGAGGAGAAGCAGATGTTTTAATTACCGTATTTTTTGGAGTATAAGACGCTCTGGACTATAAGTTGCATGTAACTTTTGGTGAGGAAAACAAGAAAAAGAAATGTGCTTCTGCCTCCCAGAAATTTTGCCTCCTTGCAGCAAATAGCCTGCTTTACTTTCATTTTCGTTTTCAGCATAGCTTGATTAGCAAAAGAAAAGAAAAATCTGCTCCCAACAATTTACCTCCTTGCAGCAAGCAGCAGAGGCCCGCGCAGCAATAGACAATGGCAATCCCTGCAGCCTGAAACAGCTGAGAGTCGGGAGACCGATCTAACCACAATCAACTTGTGCCAATTAGGCTGTGCTGAAGCTGAAATGGGCTGTTTGTTCTTGCTGCTTGCTGCAAGGAGGTAAATTGCTGGGAGGCAGAGGCCAAAGGGTGGGGGCCAGTGGGTGGGCGGGGCTATATTCTGTGTATAAGATGCACCCAAATTTTTACCCCCTTTTAGGGGGGAAAAGGTGCATCTTATACTCCGAAAAAATACGGTATGTTTTGATGAAGAGGAAAATCTGGTGTATTCTGCACCTGTCATTCAACATAACTTAACAATAAGGGTCTTGTTTGCCTTGGGTTGCCTTCTCATTTTAGGTGTTTGTTTTTTTCAAAGAAAATGATGATGTAACTGATATAACTCATCTTCAGGTCAATCTACTTGCAAATTTTAATCAATCATTTGCAGATAATGAATTATAAATGTTTCTGATCCCTTTGCAGGGTTCCCAGTTTCATTAGCTCAATCATTCTGAAAGCATTATGGCTTTGCTTTTTCCTGTCAGCTCCATATAATAATATTAAGAAATTCCAAATTACTTTAGCTTGTGGTTAAACAAGAAATTGCTCCTAATATGTTGAAGCTAATCTGCACAGAATAACATTTGACTCAAGTAACTGCAGCCCCACATTTCTATGATAATATATGTTATACCTACTTGGAATTTTTAAGTGGTCTTAGATCAAAGTGAGTATACCACATTTCTGTACTCCAATAGTATTCATTAGGCAAAGCTTTATAAAAAGTAGTGGGGGAGAAGCAAGGAAGTTAAAACACAGTTTGAAGACTTTTTTTCACAGACTTCGTCACGAAGTGTGTTTTCTCTAGGTAAAAAAATCACAAAGCCCATGAATCCCCAATCTTATCTTTTCTGGCAGACAATGTACATAGGCATCTTAAACTTAGCAAATAGCAAAAATAAAGAACCCCAGCAATGAAGATAGAAAGTAGTATTGTAGTGTTGGTTGATGCAATAGATACAAAGTCAAATAGATTGTATCATATTACAGGTAGTCCTCACTTACTAACTGCTTAATTTAACAACTTTTTGAAGTTACATCTGTAAAAATAGTTTTGCGACTAATCCACATATTTATGTGTCACAGCATCCTGCAGTCACATAATTCAGCCATAAGCCATTCAGGCATTTTACAACCAGCATGCATTTAGGACCATCACAGCATCACACAATTGCCATTTGTGTACATCGCAAGTAGCTTATAACAAGCAGAGTTAAATAGAGAAGACAGAAGTAAAATTGTAAGCCACAGTAACGTGATATTTTGCTTAGCAACCAAATGAGAAATGGGATTGTAATCCCATTGTATTCATGTAATTTTCTGCTTAGTAGTTGCAGTGCTTCGGATGGAGTTGCTGGTCACTAAGTGAGGACTACCTGTATCAGTATTGAAGGGAATTGGATCCTCAAAATGTATTAGGCCTCTAAAAATATGTAAACCCTTTTCCTGTTGGAATAAGAAAATCAGATCATTTCTTAATAGATTTTGAAGGCACACAGAAGATGGTGTGGGAGACTTAGTTGTCTAAATTCCCATATGGATATGCAGATGGATACTTCAATTTTCTGTCAGCCGAGGTCTTTTATAACATGATTATACGTACTGTATATAAGCTGAAATGTGACATTATGTATGTACTCGTTTGGAAATCCCAAATCCAAGAGTTTGTGTTATATCTTCAAATTGGATTGCTTATGGTAAACCAGGTTTTGCCATAACGTTAGAAAAAAAGACAAAATCACATTAGACTTGTTTGAAAATGTTTTTGTTTTTAACAATCATGCTCAGAGAATTTTTTATCAAATACAGGAGATTAGGAAAGTTGTTCATGGTGTGGAGCAAACTGCCCGGGAAATTTTGACTGTTCTTCAAGGAGTCCACCAGGGTTCTGGATTTCAAGACAGTAAGTCCAGCTTTGTTTGTTGTATTCAGTATATCACACTGTTGAGAAAGAATGGAAAATGTATTGATCCTACAAAAGCAGTTGCTACCAGATAAGGTGGGGGATATATTTTCTTACTCAAGATGATCTTGCATTTTTTTGTCAGAAATATGGGGACCTATAGAAAGTAAGAAGGGATGTGGTGGCTCAGTGGCTAAGACATTGAGCTTGTCGATCGAAAGGTTGGCAGTTCAGCGGTTCAAATCCCTAGTGCCGCGTAACAGGGTGAGCTTCCGTTACTTGTCCCAGCTTCTGCCAACCTAGCAATTCGAAAGCACGTAAAATAGGGACCACCTTTGGTGAGAAGGTAACAGTGTCTGTGCGCCTTTGGCATTTAGTCACACCAGCCACATGACCACCGAGACGTCTTTGGACAGCGCTGGCTGTTTGGCTTTGAAACAGAGATGAGCACCGCCCCCTAGAGTCGGGAACGACTAGCACATGTGTGCGAGGGGAACCTTTACCTTTACCTATAATCCATTTTAGGTATTTAGCCAGTCAATAATTACTTTTTTTTAGCAGAGTGTTGAATACCTGATACATCATTTGAATAGTGTGGTAGCAAAATGTTTCTTAAGCCTTGAAAATTTAGGACAAGTATGGGCAAGCTGCATTTGGTTCCTAATCCCCTCTTGTAGTGTCCTGAATTGTGCAGCTGAATTTCAGTGGCCAATCCCTGAGAAACAAAAATATGATTTTTTTTTCTGATCATTTTTGGCAGAAAATCTTTTCAAGGTGTGTAAAAGTTCATTTAGAATGAATATACCAATTTGCATAGAAACGAAGTGCATACATCTTCCTCAGAAGTCCTACTCAGCCACATCGGTGTGGTGTGTCAGCATCTGCCTGCTATGGTCCTTAGCCACTAAAAAGAGACAGAAAGAGAAGAAAAGGTTTATTTTCCCAGCTTAACACATAAAAGGGCCAGATCAAAATTCGTCATCATAAATTTGTTTCATTCATTTGAGAATGGCTAAAACTTTAATCTGGATCAATTTCTTTTAATTCTGAATTTTTGTTTTTTCGCAGCTCATATGTTTATGCTTGAAGCCATACAATTGCAATGGCTTTTTTTAACTTGCTATTTTCTTTTAATTTCAGTACCAAAGAAATGTCAGAAGGCTCGAGAACACTTTAACACTGTTAAAATACATCTGGCTTCTCTGAAAACAAAGTTTCCTGCAGATCAATATTACAGGTTAGTGAATTCCTCCCTTCCCTTCCCTCGGTACACATTTGACACAGAATAGATTTCAAAAGGGAAAAAAACCTGATCTGGTAAAAGATAGAATTATTGTTAGAGGGAGTTATTCTAAACAATTATTTGATGTATTAATCCTTAGTGTTGTATGTTAAATAATAAATAACTTGCTGTGCAAGAAAAATTATTTGAGAAATTGTTTGGGGGAGGGTATTATAGATTAACAAGAATAATTTGGCATTCTCCAGCTAATCACTATTGTACAGTCTAACTTCTTGCAACACAAAGTATATTGATCTTCAACAGAAGATCAATATATTGATGTTTGGTTATATAACCATTGAAATGTTGTAAGCATGACCCTGGTATTAAAAATGCACATTAAATGCCTATGTTTCAATCAGGTGTTTTTCCATACAGATTTCATGAACACTGGAGATTTGTGCTCCAACGACTGGTGTTCTTAGCAGCATTTGTTGTCTATCTGGAAACAGAAACCTTGGTGACACGGGAAGCTGTTACTGAAATTCTTGGAAGTAAGTTAATAAGAAGACTTGGAGGAAGGTTTGTCATGGCATTAGGCATCTCATGTTTGTTACTTGCCAAAATAGTTTGCCTAATTATTTTTGAATTCATGTATATTCCTTTTCTTTTCAGTTGAAGCTGATAGAGAAAAAGGCTTTCATCTGGACATTGAGGATTATCTTTCTGGAGTATTGACTCTTGCAAGTGAGCTGGTATGTAGAATATTGTACGGCTATATTGCTCATCTAATTGAATAGAAGGAAATAGCAAGTTAATGCATGGAAACAGTTCGGTTTCTTTTGACCGGGTATTCTCGTTGGCTGAGGCAATCTCAAATGTTGGCTAAAAAATTCTGGGAAGTGTAAAATCATTTGGAGGACAGCAAGTGAAGATGGTACATCTAAATGGCATTATTTATTTCCTTGTTGGCTGAGTGATTAAAGTTTCTTGTTAACCTTTCCTATTGTCTGATGGGCAAGATTTTAATTAGTAAAGTTTTTAGATAAAAGGCTTTTGAGATTGGGGATTCATCTAAGGGTACGTCTCCCAACCTAGGTATTTTCAAAACATCTGGATTTCAAGTTCATGCTTTCTGAAAATAATCAGGTTGTATTTGTATACTGTTAACATACAGGTATTATAGTAGAACTCCAGTGAGGCATAACAGGCTTAATTCTGTGTTTTATTTAATAGTCTAGGTTAGCCGTGAACAGTGTGACATCTGGGGACTATTCTCGGCCACTTCGCATCTCTGTTTTCATCAATGAGTTAGATTCAGGATTCCGCCTGCTCAATTTGAAAAATGATTCCCTGAGGAAACGCTACGATGGCCTCAAGTATGATGTCAAGAAAATAGAAGAGGTGGTTTATGACTTGTCAATCAGAGGACTCAGCAAAACGGCAACCGGAGGTGCTGGTGAGGAGAAATAGAAAAGGCCTCACTGAACTGCATTCATGATTACCTCAGTAATGTGGCCAATGAAAGAGAAGCTTTAACTGAGCTCTCTAGCAGTAATGTAGAAGAACCACAAGCTACAAACTTGTTTTTCCCCATCTGAACACTTAGTATATGTCTGACTTGAAAACCTTCTAAACTGTTCTGTAAATCCCCCATCTAGTGGACTGTGTTTGCAGTATAAGTTACTATGATATAAACTGTATTTGTGAATTATGACCTTTATTGTCTAATAGTCCTGCAGTCTCAAACATGGTAATTAGTTGCTACTGTATCTTAGTATCAGGCTGAGCTGATTCTTTCTGGACCTCTCCATAATTCACATTTAGTACAATGAGTGCCCATTTTAAAAGGAGCACTTGATTTCAACATGTGTAAATATGTTTATCATTAGAATGAAATCAGAATACTTCATTTTCTATTCTTGTTAGATTGTAAGATTTCAGATGTAATGTAATTGGTTCCATAAGTAAACATGTTAGGAATATATTTCTAAACGATCATTATATAGTACAGAGAATCTATTCTGAAGTAAGCCGATCCTTAAACATTGGAAAGAACTGTGAACCATTCCTAATACATTTATATGCATATTCTTAGTCTATATCCAGTTGTTGTTGTTCTTTAAATTGAGAACATCAAAATGTGTTTGTGGTTTAGTGATGGGCAAAGGGCGATATGCAGTTAAATTGCTTGAAATCTGTACTTGAGTCAGATACTTAGTGTCCATTCAGTTTAAAATAAGGTTCTAAATTGATCTTTAGTAAATAGGGTAGAGAAAAATGTCAGCTAAATCCTAATTATACTTACCTGAATGCTGGTTGTTTTCATTCAGCTCATTTCCAGCAAACTTACATAAGATCATCAGCTTAGAATAGTAAGATGCAGATGTTAAGCAAACTGACTATATGGTTACTTATTCTGTTTCCTCTCCTATGTTAATATTTGATTGTCACCTTCACTGTCATTCTGGTATAAACTACATGTTATTTCTGAAATGTATAATGACGTGTTTCTGTTTGATCATTTTGCATATACAATGTTTTGTCTCATTCTTTCTCCATTGTTTGTGTTTTTTGAGAAAGATTATCTCCCAAAGAATAAAAAACATGTACTTTATGGTAATTCATATAAGCATCCTTGTTTATAAAGTTTTTCCTTGTTCTGGTTGCTGTTTTTGAAATGTTCAATGGGAAGCAAATACTTCCTTTGTTAAAATTGCTAAATAAAAATAAAAATACATTTTTTAAACATGGCATGTGCTTGTAAGTCTGTAATTTACACTTCATCCAAGATAATGCCCGTAAAAGTCAATGGTTTGATAATTTGTTTAATTAGAATGGAATTAGGAATTTGCTAATAATCCTAAATTCAGGATTCTATGTGTCATTAATCACCCCTTCAGCTAGGTTAATAAAATTTGCTAGAAAAGGTGTTCCTTGATTTTTACTAGCTAATACAGCTCTCCCCAACTATAGCTAATTAGACTAGCAAGACAGCTGCTAAATAATAGATGAGAGCTAGCTCAGTCTAAGGGGATATCACAGCACAATGTGGTACATAATGTTAACGTATCTCTTGGAACATGAGATGTCTATCCAGTGATTAATTTAGTGATTTATTTAAAAGAAATCTTCCTATTTTTTCCAGCCCTTTCTACAGATGGGCTAAAAATACCATGAAAAATTGACTATTTTTAAAAATTTAACATTTGTTAATTGTTTCTGGATTTGATAGGTAAACTAAACGGATCTATTCATATAGGAATCACTAGAATGTTAAATTCCATGATCAGAATCACATATTGAAGTGTCAGGCACTAAAACAAGGGTGTCAATCTCGTGTCGCCTTGACACCGTCACCTGATGTATCATGACTTTTTCCCCCTTCACTAAACGGGGCATGGGCGTGGCCAGCACATGACACATCCGGGCCAGGAAGGTGGACAGCCCTGAACTAAAAAGAATCCTTCAAATTTATATAATGTTGGACAAAAGAGTTACAACATATATCGTAGAAGGGCTGTATTAGTCTATGGCAGCTGAAACAAAATTTGGTAGCACCTTTTCCAACTAACAAGTTTTATTAAACTATAAAACTTTTAACACATTGCAATTACTAATCGATGTATTTGCAATCTGTATGTAATAGTACAAACACCCTCTTTTTAAATTCTACATCAGTTTAGCACTCCATGCATCTGATGAGGTGTGCCATAGCTCATCTATGTGTATGGTTTTCAATAGAATTTGTTAGAAAAGATACTATCAAACTCCTGAATTTATTATGAGAAATTGAAAACGGATGGTTTGTTCTCTTTCACTAGGATCCATTTAAGAGCTTTGAGTAAAAAATGTTTATGAGGTTGGTGTCACAAAGTTCCAAACATTATTTATTTATATCCAGAGAGAAAGCCGAGATGGAGACAAGAGAGATTAATTCACATACTACACTAAACTGTAATGTGTATGCTTTGGGCATAATACTTTGTATTCAAGAAGCCATTTGATCATGTGAAAATCCGATGCAACTAAATTTCTTCTTGAACTTCTGTAATCCTCCCCGGTGCTTATGCACTCCAGTTCTTTTCCTTCAACAAGAACTTGTTAGTAAAGACAAAACCTATAAACGTTATCTGTATGTTGCCTACAAACCTGAACTGCAGACTTGTTTTAATTCTGTAGTTTAAGCCTAGCGCCAACAGAGCATTGTCTGAAAAGAAGTAATTGAAAGAACGAGAAAAATAAGTTTGAGACATTGTAACAACGGCTAAATGGATTTGTTTGATACATCTGAATCCCTCAGAGTATGTTCTTGCCCTAAGCATAGTTGAGGTTTATGAAGACCTCAATAAACCTCAACTATTACTATTACTAATAACAGCGCAATGGGTTTCCAGATAGATTAGAAAGATGTGAAAGAAATCTGAAAAGACTATTGCCATAAAATGACTTAACACAAATGTATCAATCATCTTATGACATGGAACTACAGAATTTGAGAATCTTTGATTTAAATAAAAACGATGTATAAGTAGTCCTCATTTAGCAACCATTTACAACATTGAGGAAAAGATAACTTTGCAAGCAATCATATTTGTGACTTTTTCAGGTCTGAAAAGCAAAGGAAAGCTAAAATAAGATTGTAATCACAGTTGTGTTTTCAGTTAGCCATCGCTTTGCTTAACAACCAAGTTGCCAGGCCCAACTGTGATTACAAAATGGGGACTTTTTTTTTTCTTATTCAATCGGCCCAATTCTTGGAGACTGCCTGGACCGGTCCCTACAGTTTTCTTGGCAAGATTTTTCAAAAGTGATTTGCCATTGCTTCCTTCCTAGGGCCGAGACAAAGTGACTGGCCCAAGGTCACCAAATTGGTTTTGTGCCTAAGGCTGGACTAGAATTCAAAGTCTCTTGGGTTTTAGCCTGATGTCTTAACTACTATTTATTTAGCGTATGGCATATCACATATGGACTAGCAATATAACATTTCATCTAGATCAGTGGTGGGTTCCTCCTGGTTTGGCCCAGTTCCACCGAGCCAGTAGTGGTGACGATATGACATCACTGAACCGGTTCTGCCCCCCGGTGCCCCCCCCCCGCATTATTCTTACCTTTTATTTGGCCCCATCCCCAATCTATTGCTGTCTCCTGAGTCCCAGCTGATGGGCTATAAGGAAAAAAACTGTTTAAACTCTTGCCGTGGGGCTTCAAAGGGCCGCCCTATAGCTGATCAGTATTAAAAGGCAGTATGATGATAGACCAGTGCCTCCAAAAACAAATGGGTAGACCGGTGCCTCCAAAAACAAAAGAGTAGACTGGTACAGCTCTGCAAGCAGTTAAAAGCCTGGTAGACCAGTACCTCTGCTAAATCCTAAAGAATTGTCACATGACCATCAAGCCACGCCCGCAAAATAAGCCACGCCCACAGAACCGATAGTAAAAAAATTTAGAACCCACCACTGATCTAGATTAGTAAAACACAGTAAAATATAAGTGTTAAAAAGATATATGTTCAAATACCAATGTCTAGGCCATCTAACACAGCATCATTTATATTAAAAAAAGAATCAGATACTGGACCAGTATCTGCCCTCAGCTTACAGCAGTCACAATGTGATCTACAGTTTAACGTGGGACCCCACAGTCACACTGAGAGGATACTATTTATACAGAGGGTCTGTCGAGAGTCAAGCCGTCTCGACATAGCGTGGGGAGGGGAGTCTCTGCAGATTCGTTGCTTAAATGGGGACACCCTGCCAAATGAAGGAATCCAAGACGCAGGCTGCTGCAACGATGTCTGGTGGTGGGGGGGGATGTGACTAATAACCTTAGCTGTGCACATTGGTGAAGGGCAGGTGGCTGGTGTTAGTCCCATACTCGAAGGCGGACAGTCACCCCGCGGCCGGAGCAGCGTAGGGAGCTGTCATCGGCCACCGTCCCAAAAGAGGGCGGTACCCAGAAGCAACGCCGATTGGCTATTAATGTGCCCGGCTTATTTTGAGTTTGTATAAAGAGCGTTGGGAGGCAGCCGCTCCGAACGCCGACTTTAAGTTTGTCAATAACGTTCGTGTGTGACTGCTCCAAGAAATGAAAAGTAAACCCATTTACAACCTTGTTCTTTGCCTACGAGTTGTGTTTTCAACGGTTTGAATCACCTTGGAGAGCAGAATATGACAGAGTCCTGGCAGATGGCATGTGAGGTGTGAATCCTATTCAGGATTGTCCATGGCTGACATGGTTGTTCAAAGCCTGGCACCCTTTTTGTGGGGTCGTTTATATGTCGTCCTATGACTGGGTGTTCAGCCACCCAGTTGGCTTTCCACTGGGAAGCATTGTTAAAGTTGTTAGATAGCTGTTGTGCAAGTGCCAATGGGGGCTTCCTGGATTTGAGTCTTCCTGCTAATAAATGAGGAAGACCACTATACCAAACTGGTTCTCAAATGAAGTTCATTGGTACCGCGTTTCCCTGAAAATAAGATCCTGTCTTATATTTTTTTGATAAGGCTTGGCCTTATTTTCAGGAATGTCTTATTATTTTGGGGCATGTGGAGCAAGACGGGGCTCCTCTTGCCGTCTTACCTGATTTCCAGCTCTGTTTCCCTAATCAGAGGAAATGGCGGGGACCAGCTGCGCATGCATTTAAATATTTCCGGGGAGGGCTTATTTTATGGGGGGCTTATGTGCTTAAAAGCCCGATTGGGCTTATTATCACGGGACGTCTTATTTTAGGGGAAACAGGGTAGTTAAATAAAACTTTTGTAATCAGCCCTTGATATGCCATGCAAAGGCCAATACCTCCAATTAAAACAAGTTCATGCATTCCAGACTTAAGAGGATATATGAATTCTGCTATTATGGCTCATCACTACATTGATGAGTGAGGCTGCAATGAGTCTCACAACAATCCATACTTACTAATAAAAGAGAATATATGAAGCTCAGGGTTGAACTGTAGAGCCTTCGGTTGCTTGCAAGCAACCACGCTCAGAGAGCACCAAGGATTTCACAATTCACAATTAAAATTCCTGGCTTAGCGTTATGTGTTACTTCAGCCATTATTGTCACTTGGAATATTTTACTATTTAAAATCTTAGCTGATTCGAAGAAACTTCAACTATCTAAAAATCCAAAATAAAACTTACCTAAATATATATATGGATGAATGAACTGGAAGAGTTGGCCTCTCCCAGTTGCGCCCACTTGAGTACCCTGTTCATCATCAGCACACACGAAGTTGGAGAAGGTGAGTTGCGGTGGTCCATTGGGATTCCATCTTCTTCTCCAGGTTCCCTGTCCACTTGAGTTTCAAGATTGAATTTGCAGAAGTACTAAGGACAGATTGGGAATTCTGTTGGTGTACTGCCTGCCATATTGTCCATTAGACTCCCTCGCTGAACTGACAAGAGCATAATGGTATGTAGGGATGATCTTGGGAGACAGGGCAAAGGGAATGGTCAGATAAAAGGCAGTGTCAAGCCTGAATTTGATTGGGGTGTGGGATTGTTTGTATCCTTAGGTACTCTGACATGAACTCAGTTTGACAGAATTTGGAACTGAAGGGGGGAGAGCCAAGGAGGATAGAGCCTTCAGCCGAAGCAACATAGCTAGCCGATGAGTCACGAACATTCCAATGGCTGGCTGGCTGGAGGAGGAGGAGGAGAGAAGTTGCCAAGCAACCAGCTCTCATCTTGGTTGGATAATGTGACAGTTTGTTTTGGAAAATTAAGAAACTATACTTATATTGGAGTGGAAAGCACGGGAACCTTTGGTACTGGCTTTCCACCAGTAGTGCCAAGATGATGCATCTAAATAAATTAGTTCTTTGAGGAAATGAAATGCCTCGGAGTTCTATTTGTAATGGGTGCATTACTTGGAACCTGACAGGCAGCTGAGCTCAAAGCAGGAATTGGGGGGGGGCAAAAAGAGTCCCTACCTAGTTTGGGGGCTGTAAGGGGGATGGGAGGAGGAAGTACTTTCAGACTTGCAAGGTTCTTTAATGTAGCTTTACAATAAAGTAGAATTAACTCATTTGGTTGGGTTTCCTGTCTGGTGCGCCTCAGGCTGACAATCTTTCAAGTCTCCTTTTCCCAAAGAGAGGAATTTTAGGAATGGCCTTTGATCCCCAGGGAGCTCTGCAATCTGCCAAGCATCTAGCAGCAGCATTGTTGCAATAGCAGCAGCAGATAGAGGCACAGATGACCAACTTGCAGAATGCCATGACACAATTAATACAACAGCTGGGACAGAATTAGCCACAATTCACAGCAGTACAATTTGTGGCTCAGCCGATGTTCCTGCGTTCCCATGGGAGCTTGCTAGAGAAATTCAGAGGGGACAAGGAATAATTCTGGACATTTGGTGTCAATGTATTACCTTTATGGGAGGCAAGCTAGTGGAGTTTTCTACTATATGCACCAAAGTGATTTCTGCTAAGTTTGCTGAAGGAAGCAGCAGCTAAATGGACCATATTGTTCAAACTGTACTTTAATTTTACCAAACATCATCATGTTGCTGCCGAGTTTACACACTGTTTTTATTTTATATCTTATAGCAATAGCACTTAGATTTATATACCACTTCATAGTGCTTTTATAGCCCTTTCTAAGCGGTTTATAGAGTCGGCATATTGCCCCCAACAATCTGGATCCTCATTTTACCCACCTCAGAAGGATGGAAGGCTGAGTCAACCTTGAGCCTGGTGAGATTCGAACTGCCAAACTGCTGGCAATTGGCAGTCAGCAGAAGTAGCCTGCAGTACTGCATTCTAAAATCCAAATCTTATTGGATTTTATTTATATATTTTTATTCAAATCTTAATTTCAGTGGGCTTTATTGGAAAGGGCCTAGAGAATTTCAGCTACTGGACAGTTTACAAAATAGAAACAAATAAATGGGGTCTGTCTCTTCCTCTTTCCTGGTGACCATGCCTGAAATAGCTGGGAAGAAAGATAAGTACCACTAGGAAGTGTAGAATGACAGATATTCAACAGCAAGCATTTAAAATCCTGATGCAGAGAAGCATATGGAAACCGTGCAAAATAATTACAATAATTAAGAAAAGGGGATTATTAAAATGTATTATTGTTAATCTAGAATGTATTGCCGTGATGGCGAACCTATGGCACGTGTGCCACAGCTGGCTTACAGAGCCCTCTCTGTGGGCATGTGAGCCGTTGCCCAGCTCAGCTCCACCACGCATGTGCGCCTCCCGCTGGCCAGCTGATGGGCAGGGCACATGTGGGAAATGCGCACTCATGTGCAGGTCAGACGGATGCACAGGGGTCATAAGCGCATGCGTGGGGGGGCAGGGAGGAGCACAGCGGGTGCGGCACCCCCCCACACACACACACACCATGTTTTTGGTCCCAGGAGGCTGCAGGTGCTTCAAGTAATTTTAATCAAAATGCAGTTAAAATGCTATACAAGCCATCGAGAATATAAATACAGTATATACAACAGGAAGTGCCTCACAGGAGCAAATAGAGGTAAATCCTAGAGAAGCAGGAAATGCCTCACAAAACAATGGAGATGAATGTGAAAGAGGAATAAAGCTGCATACAAGGCTGACAGAACACCTGTAACAGCAGGGAGGCCTACTAGGCCCAAAACGGGGCATAGAGGGGTTGCACAAGCATGCGCAGTAGAGGTGGGGGCGGGGGGGAACGTGGGAGGGGGTCGTGTGCATATGAGCAGGTGGAGTGTATTGCATTATGGGTGCCGGCACACGCGCACACTGTTGTGCCCTTTCAGCACACAACGAGAAAAATGTTAGCTATCACTGATGTATTGTGAGAGATTCCTTATCTGATGAAATACATATTTTTATGTAGCTAAATCACCAACTAGGAGAGGTGACTGAACCTTATTAGCAGAAGACAGTTCGGAACGAATTGATATATACAGGATTGGATTTCTACAGTCGTTCTTTAATTCATTTACAAATAAGTCCACTAGTGCTTAAAAAGAGGCTATTGCTTATCCGCAGGATTCTATAGATATTCAGGAATAGTTGTGGCTGAATGTCAAATACGTATTTGGCTTCCCTTCCATCATATATTACATGCATTCTGTGCAATGTAAAATTCAGTAAACTGGCACCTACGTGGTCTCGAGAGCAAAAGAGGACAAAACTCATAGGTTTTCTTTATAAAATAAAACCCTTCCAGAAGCAAAAACAACTCCTAAAGGTAGTATGTCCTGGGACAGCAAGCTAAAATGTGAAAACAATGACACTGTCTAAACATTCTCTCTTATTGGATTAATACTGCTCTAAAGTTGACCTGCATGTTACCTAACGCTATTATACATACAATGAAATCTCTATTACATGGTCCCAGGATGCCTTTCCGCAGCACAATCATGCAGGGTCACGTAGCAAACATACTTCATCTTATCTGCACAATATTAACAATATTAGCTCAATATTTCTTAGAGACCTGCTCCTTAGATCTGATGCCAATGGTATCCATTTACTGTATGAGATTATTATCCCCAATAGGTCACAAACCTGCAAGGCCTGCCCTCTTCCACTCAGCCCCCATCTCCTCGGTCAGGCAATTTTGCTGTCACTGCTGTTGAACCTATTTATTACAGGAAGTGCAAAAAACATTCCTACTGGATCCAGAATCTGGATCTTGACATTCTACCACATGAAAAACTCAAGTTGTTACTTCTCAGTCTGGTGGCCAAGAGCAGAATGCTTCCCTCTCTTCCTTTTATACAGACACGATCCCCAACAACACATATTTGGTCAGTGCTTACAGGTAGTCCTCTACTTATGACTGCCATGGGGACCGGAATTTTGGTCATAAGTCATGATGGTCTTAGTCCCATGTGACTGGACCCAATTTTACAGACATTTTTATAACAGTCAAATGAATCACGCAGTTGTAAGTTTGGACCCATTCTCCCAAATGGGAGGGGGTTTTTTTGCCGAAAACTAGCAAAAACCATTGCAAATTGTGGTCATGGGATGCAAGACACTGCAACCAGTTGTAAAGGTGAGCCAGTTGCCAAGCACCTACAATGTAGTCATGTAACAACAGGGGAGCAACATTTTACAATGGCTGGAATTGTTTTATGGGCCCTAAAGCCCCCTTTCCAAGCCTATTGTAACTTCAAATGATCATTAAACAATCGGTCGTAAATCGAAGACTACCTGTATAGGAAATTCTTAAGCAAGTAGTTCTTTCTTTCTTGATACCAGTTCTGTAAACGATAGGTTGGTTTTCAATATGACAATAGGTACAGCAGCTTTACTTCCACAGAGCCTTTATGTTCTTATTCCTCTAGTGTTTTTCAAAGGGAATGCAGGCCCCAGGAAAAGAAGGCTAGAATTCTTACATTGAGTTGATGGCAGACTTAAAGAGAGAGTCAAGGTTTCCCAAAAGTGTGCTTCTATGTGAACAGAACTACTCAAGCTGAAAAAGAGGATTAGATCAGTGAAATCCCTAACTGTTCTGTGTTATCTAATCTCAGAAGTTCCGGGGTGAGGATTCTGTATTAGCTGCGAACTAAGAATGCTGTTAGAGGACACTCTGCCTACGTGTGTATCCAAGGTTAAGCTTCCACACTGAGGTTTCTAGATTAGGGTCTAGGTGATGAGAAGATTTAACTAGTTTAAATATGGACTCATTTTTTTCTAGAATTTAAAAACACTGGTTGTGGTTCACACCGCATGCTTAACCTGGTACCTACTGAATTATTCCACTTCCTGGGATCCCACAACACATGGGACCATAAACTGGCCAATGGTCTGGGTTGCATATTTTGCTAAGCCTAACCAAAGTTAAGACCCATCAAGCTCATCATGTTACGTGAATACGTGCACTGTGCCTTTACCTGACTTAGTTAAGCCTGCGGTATGAAAACAGCACTACAAAGCACTTGTTAGAAAGTCCTTCCTAGTAGATAGTGGTCATAGGTAGCACCAATGCTATTTGGATAGCTGAAGTTCATCCTTTGTGCAATTGTGTTGACAAGAGATATTCAAGCAGGCCTAGTGGAGGTTCAGAGCTCGGCCAAGTCATTTCTTGGGCAGCCCCTCTCATGACCTATTGTGAGATGCACTTATCATGATATTGGGCAAAGCGTTACGCCGCTTCTTCCAGGAGCCCAGCTCCCGAGAGTACCTCCTGATCTGCCTAAACCAGTGATGAGTCCGTGCCTTGTCCCCATCTCGAAATATGAAGGATTCCCGTCTTATCTCAAGCAGTTCAAATGTATCATCGCAGTCGGGATCCACAGAGACCACACAGTTGCTGAGTCTCAAGGGTTCCCTGAGCAAACTGAACTTCCCATTGTTCTTATCCCGAATAAGGACCAATACTGCATCTTTCACAGAGCCTGGCTCCCCCAGTTCAAAACTGGACTCAGATGCACGCCTGATGTTGACCATCAGGAGAACTTGCATCTTCTGGAACTTTAACGTCTTGCTGCCCTTTTTCACCCATTGTCCATCAGGTGGCTGGGCCAGCTGTAAGGGGCCTTCCATCACAAACCGTGTTTCTTCCCGCAGCCAGCCCATTGTTTTGAGAGCAGTTTCCCTCATTTCAATGTTGATCACCTCTCGGTTCTTCTTGCTGTCCTGGCGGAAGGAGCGCAGAGTCCACGAATTCCCTTCCTGCTTGGTTTTCATATTGATGTGTTCCAGGTGGGACTCAATGCGGCTTTTGGCCTCCAGCAGACTGCTGTAATCCGGGTGGTACTCCATAGTGGCTTTGATGATACGGCTCAGAAGAAGGGGATACTTGGTGACTCTCTGTAGTGGAGCTATGAGGAAGGACCTCAGATTCATGCGACGAAGGGCAGTGTTGTCATTCTGAGAAACATTGAGGAATATCCTGCAGACAAAGGAAATGATTAAATCATAACTTTTTCATGCATACAAAACTGTAGGAAAACCTGGGGGTGGAGTTAAAAGTTAAAATATATATTTTTGCTTCTTGTTCCATCTGAAAATAATTGTAATTATTAAATATAACTATTCAAAAAATTAGCATTTTGAATGTCCTAAACCTTGGCTATCCAATTGGTAGCCAAGGACTAGTTTTTTAACACTTACCATTTCTTAGCTGCTAAATAATACCAAGGGTATGCAAATGTAGATTTTATTATCAAGTCACACTTTGGACAAGAATTTGTATTTCTAGAGAACATACTAAATTCCTAATCATAGTTTTTCATCATCTTTCTTCCTATCAAATACTTTTTCTTTTTCCTGCACTTACAAATTTCTACCTCAGGAGTAATGAATTAAAATAAAATCTTAGGTTGGCTCAATACTTTCAGTTACTCTCTTTAAGTTTAGCAAAGTAATAGAATCTGCCTTAGTGACTTTCACTGTATCTCTGAGTCAACATTGACTCAAAGTGTTGACTAGTTCCTGCCTTTTGCTTAGCATGATTTTCTGAATTGGTTTGCTATTGCCTTCTTCGTGGGCTAAGAGAGAGGGACTGGTTCAAGATCACCCAGCTGGCTTAGCTCGAACTCATGGATCCCAGTTTCTAACCTGAACCATTACAGGTAGTCCTCGACTTACAACCATTTGTTTAGTGACCGTTCAAAGTTAAACAGCACTGAAACAAGTGATTTATGATTATTTTTCACACTTATGACCACTGCAGCATCCCCATGGTCATGTGATCAAAATTCAAACACTTGGCAACTGGCATGGATTTATGTTAGCTGCAGTATCCCAGGGTCATGTGATCACGTTTTGTGATCTTCTGGTGAGCAAAGTCAATGAGGAAGCCAGATTCACTTAACAACCTCACTACTAACTTAACTCCTGAAGTAATTCACTTAACAACTGTGGGAAAAAAGGTCATAAAATGAAATAAAACTCAGTTAATGACTGTCTTGTTTAGCAAAAATTTTGGGCTCACTTGTGGTCATAGGTTGAAGACTACCTGTCACTCTTAGTGACTCAGGGAGACCAATAGATGACTAAAGACATTTCATTATTCCAGTTGCCAACATGTCTCTGTTAATACAAGCTCAGAAACATCTGTTCCTCAGCTCTAGTGTACAAGAGTTTCTCTGGAAAACCTCATCAGTTATCCATCCCACAACTGTTTCCAAGCCTGTTTTCTTGAACCTCCTGCCTGGTTAAAATTTGGAACCATCCTCACCTGAGTAACTCTTTTTCCTTTTCCAATGCATTGAGCATGTTCACGGAGGATGGCTGCTGGAGACAATATGTCTGGAATGCAGGCAGCATGTTCACAAACTCCAGGAATATTTCACCAATGCACACAGTCATGAGGTCATCATCACCCTGTCAACGTATAAGATGAAGAAGAGAAAAACAGAAATACAGAAGGATAAACAATTAATGGGGTGAAGACGGCATGTTGAGTTGATTATTCTCCTCCCAATTTGCTTTTCTGATCATTTTCACTTTCCATTAATTGGCAATATTAGTTAGAAAAAGATGCTTAAGGAAGGTGACTCCCCAAAAAGCAGAGAAACTAAGGCTTACATGGATGAACAAAAGCAGGTGAACCAGCATGCCACACTAGTAATAAAAACAAAATGGCAGTGTCTCTGGATACTCTGATACAGCACTAAAAATCCAGCACTGTTCAGAATGTTCTGAAACTCACAAAATAGGAAATCTAAATACTGTAAAGTAACTCAAGCAGGAACTAAAAGCGGAATAGGGATAAGTCAACTAAGAAGATCTGACTTGGTCAATTTAAATAAACCACCTTTGATTTTTGGTGACCTGTGATCACTGAGTCTATTCAAATAAGTGGACATTTTAGGATTGTGCAAAACATTCACAAGGACACCTTGCAAAATGCAGAAGCATGGATGGATAACCCCACCTTGAAGTATTAAAGCAGCCATATCTTCTAGGGTTGCCATAGCTATTTCAAGTGTTTTCTCCAGTTTCTGCATATGTGGACATATGGACAATACTTCTAAGGGGGAATCACAAGCAAAGCAAATGACTGTAACTGCATATGCATGCAGAGGCAAGGGAGGGAACCTTTGAAGCAGTCAAGCCATCTAAAGGATGTATCTGCTGTAACCCTTTGAAGATATGTGCTGCATTCATACCTTTCATTGGACTGTCATAGCCCTAGTGAAAATTTCCCCCTTCCCTCCCCCTCCCTCCCCCTTTTCCTTTTCTTCTTCCTCCTCCAAAGCTGTTTAGTGGGAGTATGATTGATTGTAGGACAACCCTTTTCTCATTACTAAAAATACATACAACTTCCTAACATATCACCAGGCCTTTGGGCCAGCTCATTCAGGGCTGCCTAGTTATAAGAAATTTCTCAGGATCTTTTTCCAGCTTTACCTGGAGTTGGCAGGAATCAAACAAGTATAAAAGTTGGCTATAGCCTGAACTATGGCCTCTCTCTCTCTCTCTCTCACCATCTGTCTATCTGGATCAGTACTATTTATTCCAGAAGACAAAGAACCTGTGGTTCTTCAGCTGTTGATGAGCTACAGCTCCCATGATCCCTCACGATTAGCCATGTTAATTATTTGGCTGAGGCTTATAGTTTAACAGTGTTTGAAGGCTTGCAAGTTCCTTGCCCTACCCAATTCAATTTGGCCAGCAATTCTCCCAATTTTGTAGCGAGGCCATCTGTTGCTTAAAAATTAAAGCAGAGCTTTGTATGCCTGGGACCCAAGCTAGCACTATCTGTATGAGGAAAAAAAAATGCAACAACTGTGTACTAGTATTAAATGAAAGCTCTTCCCCAAAGTGCTTGCCGGTCTTAAAATAATCATCTCTGTCTCAGCTGACTTTTGAGGTTAACCAATAAGGCTTACAGATTGACATAATTAATGTTTTTTAAAAATGCCTTTCCAATCCATTATAAATAACCTTGAATGCCTTCAGGAAAGCCGGACAATCTGCAGTGCGGTTTGAATAATACTTAAGAAATCAACCACTCTAATGTTCATTCATTCATTAACTGTTGGCAAAGCTAAGGTTCTTTTGATTATTCACTCAGAGGCAAAACTACCCCATTTGGATGGTGCTGAGAAAATGAATTTCTGTAGGAAATTACACGTAGTCCTTGGCTTATGACTATGGTGGGGACCAGAATTTCTGTAGTTAAGATGTTTGTTAAGTGAGTCTGGTCCAATGAACTTTTTTGCTGCAATAATTAGCTGAATCACTGCAATTGCTAAGGGGAATCATGCAGTTCTTAGCTGAATCTGGCTTCGCCCATTGACTTTGTCAGAATCTGGCTGGGAAGGTCACAAAGGGTGATCACATGACTTTGGGGTGCTGCAACTATCATAAATCTCATAAATCAATCAATCAATAAATACATGGCCATTTGCCAAGCACCCAAATTTTGATCAGTTGACTATGGGGATGCTGTTTCTAAGAGTGAGGGACAGTTGTGAATCAACTTTATCAGTGCTGATAATCGGTCACTAAACAAATGGTTGTAAACTGAGAACTACCTGCATATGGTTTTCATTCCTTTCAGAGGCAATAATGAACTGCAAAATATAAACAGACAGTGGTCTTTACATTACATTAGCTTTTTTTTTAGAAGCTATCACAGCTTGTTAACATCATTTTCCTTCAGCCAAAAGAAATATGCTCATATTGGTAACTGATGGCAGATGCTACAGTGCAACAGGCTTATTGAAGTTTGGGAAATGAAGGTGGACTTCATAGGGAAGAACAAACACTCAGTTAACTAAATTGAGAGCCGATGAAGCATATTTCATGTGCCTCTTCTAGGGATTCAAGGTAGATGAGCAGAAAGGATTCTGGGATACATCTGATGCAGTTAAACATCTGGAGGGCACCTTCTGAATTCTGAAGTTCTCAACACATTGGATGTCAACAAGATGACAAAGAAGCAGCTTTGGACACAGCAATTCTTAAATGAGCGTGCTTCAGAAACAAATAAAAAATAATTTAACTGTTGCAAATGGGAAGGGAATTGCGATTTGAAGTCACACACTACCTGCTCAATAGCCTGATCAATCTCTTCTTGAAGATACTCCAGAAAGTTTTCGTTGAGGTCAATTAGCTCCTGGATATTGCTAAAAACCACCAACAGCTGTTCTTGTGTTAGGAGGCCAGCTGCTTGCATGGGGAGATAGAATTCCTCCTTGATGATGCGTAGGTCTTCCCCATAGCTAGCTTCAGTGTTGACAAATTCCAACACTGATTCCTTCCGTTCTGTCCTGCACTTCAGACACTTCTCACAGAGAATGGCCTGTTTCCTGTTTTGATTCTGGACATCTGTTTCCAATGGAAAATCTCTGCCACCACAGTCAGTGCAAGGTTGATGGGCTTCCCATGCCTGTAGAGATGTTAATGTTTCTGATGCCCGGTTCCTCCACTTCTTACTCAACACCTGGCTGATACCACTGTCAGCTCGCTCCATCTTGGATGACCTAATCCTTGGCACCCCTCCAATGGTGGTGTCAGCATTGTCCCTCTCCTCATTCCCGCCTGCAATTCCACTATCCGCGCTGAGACTGCTAACATTGCTCCAGCGGTGTTTGGAACGAAAGGAACTGCTCAGGACATGGTGATTCTCATCAACATTGTTTCCATAGTTGATAGTAGCTTTAGTCAGTGCTAGACCTGAGCAGAGAAACAAAAATAATGGACATCACTATCTAGCAATAAAAAGGTTCTCCTGTAATGATACAGCATTATTTTCACTGGAATTTTGTAAATCACCTGGCCAATTCTGCTCAGAAACTAAGCAAAATTGGACCAGCTTATTATATTGGTGGGAACATCACCAAGAAATTTTAAGACTGTAAGATAAATTAGGAAGGTGGGAAACAATTCTCAAAATAAGGAAATGATATGCGGGTACCAAGAAAATTGCAAAGATCTGTCCATGTATTCACCAGGAGTCAAGTTCAACCTGAGAGTATCTCTACTGTTATTATTAAGTAGAAGAAAAAATATTTTTGTCATGTTATCTATAGCTAATGTAAGCCACTCTCTAAACCAGCAGGCCCCAACCTTTTGGGTACCAGGGACTGGTTCCATGGAGAGAGGTTTTTCCGCAGACTGGAGGGGGTGTGGCTTCATGTACTGCCTGCATCCCGTTGATTGGTCTTCACTTGTTTGCGCGGCCCAGTTTCTACCATGCCACAAACTGGTGCTGGTCCATGGACTGCGGGTTGGGGACCCCTGTTCTAAACCAACACCATTTCTTTAGAAAATTAAATGAACTATTAAAGTTGGGCAAGAGAATCATCCATTATTAAACTAAATATACTCCAGTAGTTATGTGACTTGCTAAATGATTATCAATATTTGCAATTAAGAAACTTAAAACCTTCATGAAATTCCTAGAAGATAAGCATCCATGGTTGGACAGTCATACAATGCTTGGTGGATAACAAATTCTTCAAGTCTATTACTTTTGCATTCAAAATGTACATTCCGATTCTAAACAACACCTCTGTTCTTAATTTGACCACTAAGAAAGAAAACTCTCATTTGCTGCATGACTCAGCTATGTTTGAAAGAATTTTCCTCTTCCTTATCCTAGTAAGTAGACTCCTCATTTGCTCCAGATGCTTCTGTAGGACCAGTTGTTTCAGGTTTGTCTCTTGTTCTATATAAGATTAAATGCTAGACACTGTGATGGCATTATCTTCTCTTTCTAATTACTAGACTAGGAGCAACTTCAGAACATGCCTAGTCGAAATGTGCAAGATTTCTGCTTGAGCTAGAGCAAAGGTCTCCAAACCTAGTAACTTTAAGACTGGCTGGCTGGGAAATTCTGGGAGTTGAAGACCACAAGTCTTAAAAGTTGCCAAGTTTGGAGACACCTGATCTAGAAGTTTGTTACAAAGGGCAGGAAATAGTGTCAAGTCAATTGCATCTATGTTCTTTTTCCTCTTGTAGACCTCTACAGCAAAGGTCAGTAATGCAACAATTTAAATGGTATGTGTGAAGCCATGAAATTAAATCTAAAACCATTTCAATCATTTAGTGGTGAAACATTCCATGAGATCATGAAACCTCCGTGTTCTTGCCCATGACCTCATGACAGATGAGCTCAGCAGCTGGCAACAGATGGATAACAGTGGAGAAATGATTTGACATTGCCTTTTTCAGATGATTTCTTCAATTCTCAAGTTAGGTTACAACTCTGGGTTCCAATGGTTCCTAGCCCGAATATTAATCAAGTGCTGATGAATAGTTCTTTATCTTTGAAAACTGTTATAGCAATAGCACTTAAGAGTTATATACAGCTTCATAGTGCTTTACAGGCCTCTCTAAGTGGTTTACAGAGTCAGCATATTGCCCCCAACAGTCTGGGTCCTCATTTTACTCACCTCAGAAGGATGGAAGGCTGAGTCAACCTTGAGCCAGTCAGGATCGAACTCCTGGAGTGAGCAATGAGTTAGCCTGCAGTACTGCATTCTAACCACTGCGCCACCCCAGCTCTTGTTATGTTTTCAAGATCAACAAAAGTCAACTACATGCTGCCATCTAGGCACGACAACCATTATAAAAAAGGAGAAAAAGATGGGATTTACTGGATTCTCTCTCTTGCCGGCGCTTCTGGGCATGGTGTCGGGCTGCTGCAGCTATCTTCAACTCCAGTTGTTTCCTCTTTACAGCATCTGTTGGCATTGGATCACTGAAATGAGGCCGTAGTCGACACTCCCGCTGAACTTTGGTGCAGACCGGGGTTTCGTAGGAGATATCAGAACTTGATCTGCGGCAATTTGAGCTGGCGCTCTGGAAAGTAAAGAAGTGGATTCAGAAGAAAGCTTTACACAGGATAGCCAATTATACTTCAACAGGGATGATCACAGCAAGTTAATATTTATCAAATTCACCAAACACGAGTCTGACCCAGTGGTGAAATCTAAAATTTGTTAGTACCGGTTCTGTGGGCGTGGCTTGGTGGGGGGCTTAATGTACTGGGTGGGCGTGGCCAACTTTTTTTTTTACTTTTAAAACCATTTTTTCTACAACCTCTTCAGCGAAGAGGTTGTAAAAAAAATGTTTTTAAAAGCCTCTGCCGATCAGGCAACTCAGCTGGGATCATCAGAGGCTTTTAAAAGAAAAAAAGTCTCTGCTGATTAGGCAACTCAGCTGGGATCATCAGAGGCTTTTAAAAGAAAAAAAATCCTCTGCTGATCAGGCAACTCAGCTGGGATCGTCAGAGACTTTTAAAAACATTTTTTCTACAACCTCTTGGGCTGAAGATATTGTAGAAAAAAATGCTTTTAAAAGCCTCTGACGATCCCAGCTGAGCCGCGTGATCATCAAAGGCTTTTTTTTTACTTTTAAAAGCATTTTTTCGGCCAAAGAGGTTGTAGAAAAACTGCTTTTAAAAATTAAAAAAAAGCCTCTGATGATTGTGCAGCTCAGCTGGGCATGGGGGCGGGGGCAGGAATTTTTGCTACCGGTTCTCCGAACCACCCACCTCCATCGCTACCAGATTGGGCAATCCGGTCCGAACCAGGAGCATTTCACTCCTGGTCTGCCCCTTATTATGCATGATTTGAATGTTGTAATGTGGTCACAAAAGGAGAAGAGTTTGCGTTACAATATTGCAATGCATATTTCTTCATTTGCTCAATGCCCTGGTAGCAGCAATGTCCATAAGAAGCCATGATCACATCAAAGTGATGATGTCTGTATCAAAATGCTCAAAAGACATCAGTTAGTACTTAGTTAGTACTTAGAACATCGAATATAGAATAATAGAATTGGAAGAGACTTGAAAAGGTCTTCAAATCCAAGCCCTTGCTCAAGCAGGAGAGCCTAGACCCGTGATGGCGAACCTATGGCACGCGTGCCACAGGTGGCACACGGAGCCATATTAGTGGGCATGCCAGCTCAGCTCTGGGGCGCATGCGCACACCAGCCAGCTGATTTTCGGGCCTTCTGGGCCCACCAGAAGTAGGGAAACAGGCTGTTTCCTGCCTCTGGAGGGCCTGTGGGGGGGGAAGGCCTGTTTTTTTTTCTTACCTGGTTCCAGATCCTCTCTGTGTATCTGGGAACGGCAAAAACAGCCTTTCCCACTTCCTTGGAGGCCCTACGGAGGCTCAATGGGCCCATTTTCCCACTCCCAGTGGGACAGGAAGTGACTTTTTTCCTGTCCCCAGCCTTCAGAGACTCCTAGAGAGGCTCCTACAGACTCCTAGAGAGGCTCCTAGAGACTCCTAGAGAGGTTCTGGAGGCTGGGGACAGGAAAAAACATCACTTCCTGTCCCACCGGGAGTGGGGAAATGGGCCCTTTGAGCCTCCGTAGGGCCTCCAAGGGAGTGGGAAAGGCTGTTTTCGCTGTTCCCAGATACACAGAGAAGATCTGGAACCAGGTAAGAAAGAAAAACGGGCCTACCAGGCAATCATGTGCCAGGAGCGGGGGGGGAAGGGGGAGGGGGTTGTGCACACATGCGCGTGGGCACATGTGCGCGCGACCCTCCCCCGCCCCCCCTCTCCTGGCACGCGATGGCAAAAAGGTTAGCCATCACTGCCCTAGACCCTTTCAGACAAATGGCTATCCAGTCTCTCTTTGAAAGCCTCCAGTGATGGACCACCCACCACTTCTGAAGGCAAGTTGTTCCATTGGTTGATTGCTCTCACAGTTATGAAATTTCTCCTTAGTTCTAGGTTGCTTCTCTCTTTGATTATTTTCCAATCATTGTTTCTTGTCTTACCTTTTGGTGCATTGGAAAATAGTTTGCATCACAGAGTCAAATACAAGTGTCTAAATTACATCATTCAAATCAGGATGCATCCATTATCATTTGTGACCCATTGCCCACGCCAAGTAACTCACTGTGGATTGATGACAGTCTTCCACAAAAGTGTGATTTGCTTTCGGAACTTCACAGGATTTGGGGGAAGGGAGATCAAGGGTAGTTTCAGCAGTGCAGCTGTGAGAAAAGGGACAGAATCCAATTAATACCATTCACAAAATAGAGAATAAAATACTCAGTTGGAAAGATATAGCTGATTTACATTTAACTAATTAACTGTGCCGGGAACAAATAGTTGTATTCAAAATGTAAATTTATTTGTACCGTCTGAGGAAACAGCGAATGCTTTATCTCTCTCTCCTGTACAGGTTATTTAAACACGGTACCTGTGGTGATATTACTAATTGAAATTATGGTAATTTGAAAAAGGTAAGCTCCTTAAGATAGAATGGTAACAAACTAGCTCATATTCTCTTCCTTTGCTACTCTTGGATATTTTATTTATCCTGAGAAAGAAGAAAATCTTCCGTTCCGTCATCACAAAGTGCTCCCTAAATCATAGAGATGTCACGTAGAATTTCTCATCCATAAATTATGAGCAAATAGTGTACCAAGACCCAAGGCATGGAAGACTGAGGGTAAGAGAGAAGAACCACTCAAGTTAGAACCGCAGAAATAATATGAACACTTAATAAATATTCAGTTTTTACATTAGATTTAGATTTTTAAAAAATCTTTATTATTATTTTTGTAAATAACTCAAGGCAGCAAGCTTACCTAATATTTGTTCCTCCTCCTATTTCCCCACAACAATCACCCTGTGAGGTGAGTTGAGCTGAGAGTGACCAGCACCAAGGTCACCCAGCTGACTTTCATGCCTAAGGTAGGACTAGAATTCACATTTCCCAAGTTTCTAGCCTGGGGCCTTAACTTCTGTCCCGAACTGGCTCAATTCATATTCATATTTATTATTTCAATAAATATTGAAGAGCCTTTCCAGATGCTAGAAGTGTATCCTTTACTGATTTATTAAGAGGATTCAGAAAGATGGTTCCTTTTTGCAAACTTATTTGGAATAAGAGAGAAAAAATTAAAATACAGTATTTTTTAAAGGTAAAGGTTCCCCTCGCACATATGTGCTAGTCGTTCCTGACTCTAGGGGGTGGTGCTCATCTCTGCTTCAAAGCCGAAGAGCCAGCGCTGTCCAAAGAAGTCTCCGTAGTCATGTGGCCGGTATGACTAAACAGCAAAGGCGCACGGAACGCTGTTACCTTCCCACCAAAGGTGGTCCCTATTTTTCTACTTGCATTTTTTACGTGCTTTCGAACTGCTAGGTTGGCAAAAGCTGGGACAACTAATGCGAGCTCCCCTGTTACGCGGCACTAGGGATTCGATCCGCTGAACTGCCGATCTTTCGATTGACAAACTCAGCATCTTAGCCACTGCGTCCCTCTTATTTTTTATTTCATGTCAAATAGCTACATGTAGAATGATGCCCTCTATTTATTTCTATAGAATGTTTTAATAATTTTCATGGAGATCTTCCCACACCTGAGTATTCAATGTACCCTAAAATATTGCCAACACTAAATCATATATATGTAGTCCTCGACTTACAACCACAATGGAGTCCAAAATTTCTGCTCCTAAGCAAGACAGTTAAGTGATTTTGTAACCTTTTTTTTTTTTTGCCAGTTGTAAAGTGAATCCTGCAGCCATTAAGTGAATCTGGCTTCCCCCACTGACTTTGCTTATCGGAAGCCAGCTCGGAAGATTACAGATGGTGATCACATGACCCCAGGACAGTGCAACTGTCATAAATAACATGCCAAGCACATGGGTTTTGATCATGTGACCACAGGAATTGCTGCAACGGTTGTAAGTTTTAAAACCGATCCTACATCACTCTTTTCAATGCGGTTGTAACTTCGGATGGTCACTAAACGAATGATTGTAAGTCAAGAACTACCTGTAGGTTTAAAAAAAAGGTTTAATGGAAGTCAAGGATCCACTGCAAATAATGCTTTTTTTATATAGAGAAGATCCATAAAAGCCGTAGATACTATCACTGTACTAATTGCATAAAATAAAGCAATGTTAAAGCAATCCACACAAAGTAGGGGAAAAAAACCATATTCTTTCTAATTTTATAATTTAGTATATAAAATATTTTAAAATCCTTATACAGGTCTGGAAATATCCTAGGAGGTCTTCTAATCCAATCCCGTCCAAAGTAAGAGTCCTTATATCATCCTACACAAATGGATGTCCAATCTTTTCTTGAAAACCTTCAGTGATGGAGCACCTACTACTCCGGAAGGCAAGCTATTCCACTGATTAATTAAAATTAATATAAGCATAGATATATCTGCAACTCATTTGGGGACTGCTGGGAGCAGACTTTAAAACTACCTAAATCATTAATTCTGGCTCAGATCTTTTTTCACTTCAAAGGATCTACTACAGGCTCGAGTCGATATCATTACTATTTTTGAAAGCATTTTGCATAAAACTTATAATATCAGGGTATTATCTCCAACATGCATGCAGAAGAGTAGAGCCAAAAGACACATCAGTCTTGAAAGGTAAAGATCTTTCACAAAGCAAGGAAGGCAAAACATGCGGCATATAATATGCCCCCAATTAGCTGAATCTGGCACATAAAATGCCATGTCGCTCATGAAAACCTGCTTAGCCTTTCAATAAATTGGATTTGCAAGAAAAACCTCTTTTATACATCTTAAATTGCTAAGAAAGCACACATATGAGGGAGTGTTTCTTGATGTAATAAAAGCATCTGCCCTTTCAAATTGCAAACATAATCTCCAGTTGTGCCTCGAAATAAGATGGCTGCCAATGAAGTCATCTAACATAGTTAGCCAACAAAGGACTTGTGTCCTAGAAGGTTATCCAATGTTCTAGCATAGAAGTAGGCAACACTTTGCACTAAAGCTCCAAAAACTTGTATTTACTGGAGATGATTCTTCTTGAAGTCCAGAGCATCTACGAGGCATCTGGTAGACTACTATAACATGTGAGACAAATAAAGAATGCCCAAGAGAGGAAATGCTTTTAAAAGATGGCCCATTTGGTTAACTAATGAATGATATAGGAAACTTTTCTCCATTTGAATAAATTTATATTCTCTCTCTCTCTCTCTTTCTCTCTCTCTCTCTCTCTCCCTCTCTCTCCCTTCCTCACTCCCTCACACTCACTCCTTTTGGCCAACTGTTTTTTCATCTATTCTCTCATCTTCTATTAGATCACCAAATGTAACTGAACAAGGAAACTGATGACTTTGGGATGAGGAAAAACGTAAATAAGGTTAGATACACTATCTGAAGTGGGATCAGTTAGGAAGATGTTAACTGGAAAAAAAGCTGGGGTGATTTAAATGAACCAATGTAAGCCTCTTATTATACCAAAGCATTGCAAGTGTCTTTTATATAGCAGAAAACATGGCTCCCAAAAACCTGTTAAGGTATCAAATCTGTCCTAGATTTTGTTTTTTGCTGTAGTGGTCCACCCGTCCTTTATTTATATAATCTTCTGCAGTCATTTCTCTACCAGCCAGATTTTCCTCTGGAAGCACATTTCTGTCTAACTGGCCCAACACTAGAAAGTACTTTATCTCTTGTGCATTCTTCCTCCATCTGCCTCTATCACCGTGGTCCAGGAAATGCTTTTAAATGTTCTTGATTTCATGCATTATCAGCCCTGACCAATATGATCAGTAGCAAGAATTCATCAGAACTCTGGTCCAAAGCTGTACAGACTGGGTATTTGTATAACTGAGAATGTCAATGATTTTCTATCCCACTTTCTTTGTAATTATAAAATAAGTGGCTATTTTGACCATTTTTGTGTAACAAAAGCCATGTTGCTTGAATCCAAAAAACCTTTTGCCTGAACTTTCTTTTTCAACCATCTTCCTGATTACCCTAATATATTTTTCCTCATTCCTTTGTATATGTGGTAGTCCATATAGGTACACTGTCTGATAGAAATAATAAAGCTCTGCTTCTCTGCCCATTTATTGAGATTCATTCCAGCTTCCATCCTTCTCTTTTTGACAAAAATACTTTTTACTGCAGCATTTAATGGCTAGTCTAGTGAAGAGAAGGACCGGGGGGACCTTATAGCAGTGTTCCAATATTTGAAGGGCTGTCACAGAGTAGAGGAGGACAACCTATTTTCCAAAGCACCTGAAGGAACAATGGATGGAAACTGATCAAGGGGAGATTTAAGCTAGAAATAAGGGATTTTTTTTTCTGAGAACAATCGATCAATGGAACAGCTGGCCTTCAGAAGTTGTGAATGCTTCAACACTGGAGCTTTTCAAGAAGAGACAGGACAGCCACTTGTCAAAAATGTACAAGGTCTCCTGCTTGAGCAGGGAGTTGACTACATGACCTACAAGGTCCCTTCCAACTCTGTTATTCTAAGTCTAAGAATGCTTAAAAAGAATCTGAATCTAACTGAAATGAGAAAGAAAAAAGAAAAATGTGCAAAAGGAAAAGGAAAAAAAAGGCGGAAAAATCAAATAAATAAATACATAAATAAATAATTTTATTTCTATACCGCCCTTCTCCCAAAGGACTCAGGGCGGTGTATAGCCTATTAAAAGCCCAAAGACAGACATCAGTTAAAAATAATTAAAATTATTAAATAATTTCGGCTCAGATTTAAAACCCCAAAATTTAAAACACCCAATTTAAAAATCATTACATTGATAGCCTGGCCTGGCGGAACAGCAGGGTCTTGAGGGCACAGCGAAATACACGGAGGTCGGAGATCTTATGCATTTTCAGGGGCAGTTCATTCCACAGGGCAGGGGCTCCCACAGAGAAGGCCCTCCCCCTGGGTGTCGCCAGCCAACATAACTTGGCTGATAGCACCCTGAGGAGGCCCTCTCTGTGGGAGCGAACTGGCCGGTGGGAGGCTGTTGGTGGCAGAAGTCGGTCTTGAAGGTACCCGGGTCCTATGCCATGGAGCGCTTTAAAGGTGGTAACCAACACCTTGAATCGCACCCGGAAGACCACGGGGAGCCAGTGCAGCTCGCGCAGGAGGGGTGTCACGTGGGCACAATGGGTTGCACCCATAACCACCCGTGCGGCCGCATTCTGGACCAGCTGGAGCCTCCAAGTGCTCTTCAAGGGGAGCCCCATGTAGAGAGC